ATGCCCAATCCGTACAGGTGTGTTTTTCAAACAACGTTAAATATCTCGATGAGTATTTATTTTTCAGAGTTCGTTCTTGCTGTAGCTATCTTATAATTTTAAAAGGATTTTAAATATATTAAAAAACAATAGCAGTGCACTATCTCTTTAATTGATCCTGCATTATCATCCAATGACAAAGCCCGTTAATGCTGGTCATTCAACTTTTCTAATTATAATCTGTCCCAAAATAAACATTGTACAACTATGGAGAACTTGCATATGAAATCTAAGAATGATCCATTCAGTACTCCTCAGAAAACTACATTTGTAACATGACCATCGGTCAGCCTTCTGGTCCCAACATGGACAATATGTACAACTGATAGGGACCAAGTGGAACCTACATCTGAAGTCTGAGAATGATAACAATAACAAATTACCCCAGTACAACAGTCAAGATACAAAATGGCTGCAGTGCCAAAATGATTAACACTAACAAGGGACCAAGAAGTGTCATGTTGTGAAATTGGGGAATGATTTATCAGGTATTTTGCAAGGATTACTCACAACAAGAACTGTTTAACGAAAGATGACAGATAAAGAATGGTTTTAACTGCACACCAGCACTAGCCCACCATCATAAAAAGATTGCTAAAAAATGCTTTGTAGATATGTACATCTCATGCTACATCTGTCACTGCACTGTAAGAAGATACTGGGTATAAAGGAATGAATCGGGCTGCAATCTTATCCATGAGATGATGAAACAAGTCTTACGTGCAATGCATTAAAATTACAAAACTCACTCCAACAGTGGCTTCACATATTATCCGAAGAATTAGACCATATCAGAATCAAAACTAATGGCTATTACCAAAACATACAGTGCATGTAAGACTTAAGTATGTACTGAAAAGTAGACAGAAATCTTTTAGAATGTTGATAAAAATCAGTAAGTGTGACCAATATCATAGGCTGTGGTGAGACATCCCTACCCTGTGGTGTGGGCAACACCCTTACCCTGTGGTGTGGGAGACACCCTTACCCTGTGGTGTGGGAGACACCCTAACCCTGTGGTGTGGGAGACACCCTTATCCTGTGGTGTGGGAGACACCCTTACCCTGTGGTGTGGGAGACACCCTTACCCTGTGGTGTGGGAGACACCCTAACCCTGTGGTGTGGGAGACACCCTTACCCTGTGGTGTGGGAGACACCCTTACCCTGTGGTGTGGGAGACACCCTTACCCTGTGGTGTGGGCGACACCCTTACCCTGTGGTTTGGGAGACACCCTTACCCTGTGGTGTGGGAGACACCCTTACCCTGTGGTGTGGGAGACACCCTAACCCTGTGGTGTGGGAGACATCCTTACCCTGTGGTGTTGGAGACATCCTTACCCTGTGGTGTGGGAGACACCCTTACCCTGTGGTGTGGGAGACACCCTTACTCTTTGGTGTGGGAGACACCCTTACCCTGTGGTGTGGAAGACACCCTTACCCTGTGGTGTGGGAGACACCCTTACCCTGTGGTGTGGGAGACACCCTTACCCAGAGGTGTGGGAGACATCCTTACCCTGTGGTGTGGGAGACACCCTTACCCAGAGGTGTGGGAGACATCCTTACCCTGTAGTGTGTACACAGTATGTGTAAAAAATAAGACTAAAGGTCGTTTTAAAAGTTTGGTGTTGTTGATTTAAGCTTTAGGAGATTACAGGCACAAAAGGAGCTAAAGAACCTCATGAACTCAGAAACAAAGATTTTGGTTTGGAAATTGTAAAATTTGATAGAACAGGTCTTACTAGATTGTACTAATGTTCCGACCAAAACTTAGAGACCAAGAGGATGGTAGAAATCCAATAGAAGACAGATTTTTGATATACGCCTTTGGTTGATCAGATCCACACAGAAACAAATACTGGTAACCCAATCAATTATCCTATATCAGACTGTCATCATGTTGTAAAAGTTAAGATTGAGGTTAGCTTAGCAGCCTTAGTTAGAGGGAATTTCCCTTCATCAAGTGGTAGAGTGTCCAGTTAGAGACTGAAGGGTCACTACCAACCCCAGTAGTAGAGTGTCCGGCTAGAGACTGAAAGGTCACTACAAACCCCAGTGGTAGAGTGTCCGGCTAGAGACTGAAGGGTCGCTACAAACCCCGGTGGTAGAGTGTCCAGTTAGAGACTTAAGGGTCACTACCAACCCCAGTAGTAGAGTGTCCGGCTAGAGACTGAAAGGTCACTACAAACCCCAGTGGTAGAGTGTCCGGCTAGAGACTGAAGGGTCGCTACAAACCCCAGTGGTAGAGTGTCCAGTTAGAGACTTAAGGGTCACTACGAACCCCAGTGGTAGAGTGTCCGACTAGAGACTGAAGGGCCACTACGAACCCCAGTGGTAGAGTGTCCGACTAGAGACTGAAGGGCCACTACGAACCCCAATGGTAGAGTGTCCGGCTAGAGACTGAAGGGCCACTACGAACCCCAATGGTAGAGTGTCCGGCTAGAGACTGAAGGGCCACTACGAACCCTAGTGGTAGAGTGTCCGACTAGAGACTGAAGGGCCACTACGAACCCCAATGGTAGAGTGTCCGGCTAGAGACCAAAGGGTCACTACGAACCCCAGTGGTAAAGTGTCCAGCTAGAGACTGAAGGGCCACTACGAACCCTATTGGTAGAGTGTCCGACTAGAGACTGAAGGGCCACTACGAACCCCAATGGTAGAGTGTCCGGCTAGAGACTGAAGGGCCACTACGAACCCTAGTGGTAGAGTGTCGGACTAGAGACTGAAGGGTCACTACCAACCCCAATGGTAGAGTGTCCGGCTAGAGACCAAAGGGTCACTACGAACCCCAGTGGTAAAGTGTCCAGCTAGAAACTGAAGGGCCACTACAAACCCTAGTGGTAGAGTGTCCGACTAGAGACTGAAGGGCCACTACGAACCCCAATGGTAGAGTGTCCGGCTAGAGACTGAAGGGTCACTACAGAGTGTCCGGCTAGAGACTGAAGGGCCACTACCAACCCCAGTGGTAGAGTGTCCAGCTAGAGACTGAAGGGTCACTACCAACCCCAGTGGTAGAGTGTCCAGCTAGAGACTGAAAGGTCACTACCAACCCCAGTAGTAGAGTGTCCAGCTAGAGACTGAAGGGTCACTACCAACCCCAGTCGTAGAGCGTCAGGCTAGAGACTGAAGGGTCACTACCAACCCCAGTGGTAGAGTGTCCAGCTAGAGACTGAAGGGTCACTACCAACCCCAGTGGTAGAGTGTCCAGCTAGAGACTGAAAGGTCACTACCAACCCCAGTAGTAGAGTGTCCAGCTAGAGACTGAAGGGTCACTACCAACCCCAGTCGTAGAGCGTCAGGCTAGAGACTGAAGGGTCACTACCAACCCCAGTGGTAGAGTGTCCAGCTAGAGACTGAAGGGTCACTACCAACCCCAGTGGTAAAGTGTCCAGCTAGAGACTGAAGGGTCACTACCAACCCCAGTGGTAGAGTGTCTGGAGGGATACAATTTCAAACCCTGCTGGGTACATTACATGTTCTTGTTACAGATCTGATAGAAATTAATACAAAATTCACTGAAAACTACAAAAAAAAATTGTAATTCTGTCGTAAACATTTTATCAAGCGCAGGATCGACATCTTAGGAATATCGAGTATTGTTTCTCCACAACTTCAGCTTACACAAAATCCTAGTGGATCCTGCCTGATAAAAACCTATGTTGAATGCAATCTAGGAATTCCTATAAACCAATGTAATCCGTGGTCAGAGTTCTACATCACTGAGGAATTAATGTATCTAGCAGGCCCAGATCTATGACAAGTCTAATCCATATCACACCGACATACCCACGATTTATCAATAACAAGTGTTGGGGAAAATTCAATGTTCAACTGTGTGAACATAGTCACTAGGGAAACGTGTGGTTTACAATAAAGTGAAGCCATCTACATCACCGCATACTGTTATTACATGATCAATATCTATCTGGGTTTTATCGTTTATAAAAATTAAAACCTTCCTCAGATCTAAAGCACATCTAACATAAAACATATATTTTATAACTAGGAGAAATACAAGTCACTTGTTGTGACTATACAATGATACAGTATGATTACAAAAGGCACAGTGGGCATGTATCTCTGTTTGGGGTTTTTTTCATGTCACTATAGTAAGCATTAAAGTAGGTCACTTTCCATAACGAGATGAATGTTTTTTTTATATTTGATATTTGTATAAACCTTGTTTTTTGAAATTACACTTGATTTCATCCATGTGACTTTAAAAAATTGGAAAAGTAATTCATTTGCATTCAATATGCATACATCTATATCTATAACTTTATTTGTGCATACTTCTAAGAAAATATGACCCTTCATGTATGGGCCTCATTTTCCTTTTCTACATATTTAACCTCTGTGAACTTTAATGTAAGCAAATGTCAGTAAACATTCTAACAAAACAAATTATACATTCATACTGGTCCAATACTGTGATCCTTAGTGAAAGTGGGTCAAGGTCACTCATCTGAGCAAACTTGAAATCCTTGTATCATGACTCTAGTCCCACTGGCTTTTCAAAAGTATTTGCTTATATATAATCAAAGACCTTCCATATGAGTCTGAAAGATTGTACAAAAGACACAAGTGTATAACACCTTTTGATACCAATTAGTTAAGCCAAATAATGCATAACACTGAATCATACAGCTGATTTGTCCTTCTAGGATTCATCACTGATGCAACAGGCATAAGTTTTAAGGCCTAGGAGGCAACTGAGGAAAATCCAAAGTGATGATAAGAAAAGTGACAAGCTAGATGGTAAGTGCACTAACCCATGTTTCAATGAAATTCATAATTTTCACGTATTTGGTAATTTAAGAAGAAAATCCAGTACAGGTGTAAATTGTGAACCAAAAAGAAATCATATGATGATTAAGAATGGGGCGGAATTGGAAATCATTGAAAGAATTGTACACAAGACACACAAATAGAATTAATTACAGCAAAAAATTAATCATACTGCATCAAACAGCTGTTTCATCCTTCTGGGACTCATCATTGATGCTAAGGGTTTAAAAAAAATATTTTAAAACTATGTGAACCACAGACCTCATAGATTTACTCATACATACTGGAATGTACAAATTTTGAAACTCTACATTGACTGAGTTTAATTCTCAAACGTGCCTGTTACAAGGTATACACACAATACATCTACCTACTATATATATCAGATGATGAACAAATATTCCTATAATGTAAATACAAACTTACAGGAGTTAATGATGGAATAAAGTTTAGCACATTAAACATGAAGATCAAAGATGTGAAAATTCATGTCTGTAGCTCCGGTGCTAATTTAATGTTACAGGTAAATATATACAGGTATGTTATATACTTATGACAACAGGTGAGGAAAAAGAGGCACATAGGACCTGTTTGTTCAGTTGGTTTTTCTTTCATGATATTCAAATTCTTTAATTCGATAAGTCTTAAGAAATGAGTGTTAAGAATGTCTTTATTTTTGAGAGCTTTTGAAAGCAAAAAGTAAAACTTTCAGACAAGTATCATAAAATCTCATATGTCATGAAAATAAATTTCAATACTTTTTATCATTTAACTCTGAAAAAATACAAGTTTTAAAGTAACTTTATGAAGGACAAAACCAAATGGAGAAAGTCATTTTGTTTGGCCCGAGTTAACTGATGACATAACATATTATCCCTATTATGACATCACAATCATTTTTGATGGGCCATGAAAAACGCTCCAGGATATAAATAGGTCTGACATATCAAATTATTTCACAAGTTTAATTAATTCCATATTACACTGACATGCAAGAGTGTGAGATTCTATTCATCTTTCAGAGAAAATTATGTGAAGTCATGAAGACGGCACTTATTTATGACGTCGCAATAGTATATTACAAGTGTCTTACAATATTCATGACATATGACACAACAGGCCTTATTATTTATGATAGATTGTATGTGTTCATCACGAAGCAATGGTTTTATCACGAAGCAATGGTTTCATCACGAAGCAATGGTTTCATCACGAAGCAATGGTTTCATCACGAAGCAATGGTTTCATCATGAAGCAATGATTTTATCACGAAGCAATGGTTTCATCATGAAGCAATGGTTTTATCACGAAGCAATGGTTTCTAGATCCTTTTTTAGTTTCGTGTCGGTGATGTGGTTACTGATAATTATATATCAGCGTCAGGCCTTCATTTATAAAAGAATAAGGTTTGAAATCCCTTTAAATACATTACTTGGAGTATGTTGAAAAGCTTTATTCCATAATTCTACTTTGGAGCCATCCCAAGGGACTGGTTATTTGATGATAAGATTCAATCTGGTGTTCCTTGTCAATCATGTTTTAAAATAGCAAGTAGGTCAATATCTAATTACAAATAAGTCAAGCTACGCGGTCGATGTAATCACATCGTTGTGTCTTTACTCAGTTCCTGTGATTTCCAAAGATTAATTTGATTCCCTAGACCAGAAACTGCTTTTTGCCGATGAAAGTGTACCTCCAAATCATTTTTTTGAAACAATCACGTAAATATAAAATAGTCACTATCTTCTTTTTGTTTTTGGGCTGTAGCTTGTACACATCTGTCTAATGGGTGGCAACAATGTAATCCTCCTTCATATTCTATTTCCTGGTCGACACAAGTGTAGTTTTTAATTTCTGTCGCTACATACCTGACTAAAATTGAGAAGTGATCAGTTGTTCTGGAAAAGTAGACTTTTTAAAACTTCTCTCAGGTTATGATGACCGGTTAGTTAACACTAATTCTTAAAGAAAGAATACTGGCAACCGATGCCTATAACAGGATCAAAATAAAGAGTGAGTGTCCTTGATATATGGCATACATTAAAGGAATTCTGTTTGTGGAGAAGAAATCTTTTTTACAGAAAATCTTCTGCTGTCAATTATTCCATTCAGTGCACAGATCTTAATCACAAACAGATCTCGGATGTTTTCTATGATATCAGTTACACATATAAGAGCATTTGTCAGTCTCGTCGCAATAAATAAGTAAAAATTACGAAGTTCCCCTCCTGACAATTTCTAAAGGACTGCCCCGAGTGTTTTAGATTTAAAATGGCACTGACAGCTGTATGTACCAAGGCCTGTGTACAAACATCATATTGTTTTGTAGGTGAAAGTAGACAATTAGCCTACAGCCATGATTTGATCATGTTTAAATACCAACGTGACTCAGACAGTACAGGTTTGGTGCACTTCTGGTATAGGTTCCTCATTGTTAAATAAACAATAGTCACCTGGTAATGAAAGTCTCTCCAAAAACACACCTAAGGCAATGCTGATGAAACACTAATCTTCTTTCATACCAGAATTTTTTTCATAATGGTTATGTAACTTTAAAAATTTCAATTTAATGGTCCTTTCAATCAGACCAAGTCTTAAAAAAATACAATAAGGTTGTCTTCTCAGCTATCACCTTCAAAAAATATGATTCTGTTACCCTGGACACAATATTTCCTTCTCAACCTTTCGGGGGGGGGATGGAATTGGGGAGAGGAATGGGAGGAGGGGAGGGTGAAGGATTCCCCTTTCATGAAAATGACACCCCACATACATAAGATCAGCAGGGTAAATTAGGAAATGGGGAAAGATTATTAAATTGCTAACACTCGACAAGCCTCATGTTTGTCAGCTTACATAAAGTAATCCACACACTCCTATCCCTCCCCTCCCCTCCCCCCACCCCCTGCCCTTGATTGAGATCAAATTAAACTATCTCACCACTAAGGGAGTAAAAGATTCCTATGTAGATTGTGAGAGATGGTGCTGTACCTGTCTGACATTAAGCCCATGCCTGGTAATAGGTCATAACTTGTCATAATTACCTTGAAAATATTTTGCAGATGACATCACAGGTCTGCCTTGATCCAACAACATTACCACCTCCGTGGAAAAATACAAAAATGGATGGAGCTACAACGAGATCGCAGTTCTTGGATCTATAAACCGTCACAGGAATACCATCTAGAACAGAAAGGATTATGAACATTACTAAACACCTGAAGAAAGCTCTTCATCACAAACATTTTCATTGATAGGTCAGAGACATGTTTTAGGGGACTTTTTTATCTACAGGGTTTTATTTATGGAGTTAAGGACAGAACTTATCATTGATGCTTTAAAACTTGTGACCAAATGGAAACAAAAGAAATAGGAGAAAAGTTCATGGCATGACATAAAGCAAAAAGGCAGGGGATGGTAATGGTACAGCACCATGGTAACCCTGGTACATTGCATAGTTTACTGGTTACCCTAGTACATTGTGTAGTTTACTGGTTACCCTGGTACATTGTGTAGTTTACTGGTTACCCTGGTACATTGTGTAGTTTACTGGTTACCCTGGTACATTGTGTAGTTTACTGGTTACCTTGGTACATTGTGTAGTTTACTGGTTACCTTGGTACATTGTGTAGTTTACTGGTTACCTTGGTACATTGTGTAGTTTACTGGTTACCTTGGTACATTGTGTAGTTTACTGGTTACCTTGGTACATTGTGTAGTTTACTGGTTACCCTGGTACATTGTGTAGTTTACTGGTTACCCTGGTACATTGTGTAGTTTACTGGTTACCCTGGTACATTGTGTAGTTTACTGGTTACCCTGGTACATTGTGTAGTTTACTGGTTACCCTGGTACATTGTGTAGTTTACTGGTTACCTTGGTACATTGTGTAGTTTACTGGTTACCTTGGTACATTGTGTAGTTTACTGGTTACCTTGGTACATTGTGTAGTTTACTGGTTACCTTGGTACATTGTGTAGTTTACTGGTTACCTTGGTACATTGTGTAGTTAACTGATTACCTTGGTACATTGTGTAGTTTCCTGGTTACCCTGCTACATTGTGTAGGTATGACATATGTTACGCTGTACACAAGGTTATATATACAGATTGAGTTTTTGACCTTACATATAGATAAAAAAAATCTGGTAAATATCACCTGCTAACCCACTAGTGCTGTGTATGGAAAATGGTGTCTTACCAAACTGGCTCTGACAGTGTTGTATGCACACCTATATCTCCCAGCCTGGGGAGGGGGTACTTAATCCTCCCTGTGGGAAAGGGTCAGAGGTCGTTCAAAGATTTTAAAATATGCTGTAGTGAACAAGAATTCCAGGCAGCTCTCATAGATAATATTTTTCCTGATCATTGGTCATTTATATTTATCAAGTGTATTATCAATCTGTGTCCTTGTACACTTAACATTTCATGCAATAGATTTCTTTTCTGTTGTGTTTCTTCTATAAATATAAACTTTATTTACTTATCTACAATTACCAGACAAGTTGTAACAATATAAATCACTCTTGTCAGCCGGATGTAAGCACGCAAGAGTCTTACTTTGGCAGGAAACCTGAGTACCCAGGAAAAACCCACATGGTCACATCATTCCAGGAATCAAACTCAGGACGGCTAGGTGAAAGGTGAGTGTGTTACAATGTACCACTGCACCACCTGACCACCCTTAAATAAAGTTTACTTGATCAATGGTTGAAAATATAAAGCTTTTAACCATGTATTGATTCCTGGGAGAATATGTCTAGTAATGTTAACATAAGATAATTATCTGAGATTTCAGGATCCGCGGAATTTTACTTTATAATTCCTTTATTAATACAATTTAATATCCATCCACTGGTTTAATTCTCAAACCCATAAGCTAATTGAGCAAAACAACATCAAGCGTAATAATAATGTATCATCTGGTTTTATACATCTACAAAGCCTGCACCTGTACTACAAAAAATTCTAAACATGACTTGATGATCTTTAGCACTTCAGGAACTAACAGTAAATATTATACACAAATGGGAATTAACAGTAAATATTATACACAAATTGGAACTAACGGTAAATATTATACACAAATGGGAACTGAAAGTAAATATTATACACAAATGGGAATTAACAGTAAATATTATACACAAATGGGAACTGAAAGTAAATATTATACACAAATGGGAATTAACAGTAAATATTATACACAAATGGGAACTAACAGTAAATATACACAATGGGAACTGACAGTAAATATTATACACAATGGGAACTGACAGTAAATATTATACACAATTGGAACTGACAGTAAATATTATACACAATGGGAACTGACAGTAAATATTATACACAACTGGAACTGACAGTAAATATTATACACAATGGGAACTAACATTAAATATTATACACAATGGGAACTAACAGTAAATATTATACACAAATAGGAACTGACAGTAAATATTACACACAAATTGGAACTGACAGTAAGTATTATACACAAATAGGAACTGACAGTAAATATTATACACAATGGGAACTGACAGTAAATATTATACACAATGGGAACTGACAGTAAATATCATACACTAATGATCTAACAGTAAATATTATACACAATGGGAACTGACAGTAAATATCATATACAATGGGAACTGACAGTAAATATCATACACAATGGGAACTAACAGTAAATATCATACACAATGGGAACTAACAGTAAATATTATACACAATTGGAACTGACAGTAAATATTATACACAATGGGAACTAACATTAAATATTATACACAATGGGAACTGACAGTAAATATTATACACAATGGGAACTGACAGTAAATATCATACACTAATGATCTAACATTAAATATTATACACAATGGGAACTGACAGTAAATATTATACACAATTGGAACTGACAGTAAATATTATACACAATGGGAACTGACAGTAAATATTATACACAATTGGAACTGACAGTAAATATTATACACAATGGGAACTGACAGTAAATATTATACACAATTGGAACTGACAGTAAATATTATACACAATGGGAACTGACAGTAAATATTATACACAATTGGAACTGACAGTAAATATTATACACAATGGGAACTAACATTAAATATTATACACAATGGGAACTAACAGTAAATATTATACACAAATAGGAACTGACAGTAAATATTATACACAAATTGGAACTGACAGTAAGTATTATACACAAATAGGAACTGACAGTAAATATTATACACAATGGGAACTGACAGTAAATATTATACACAATGGGAACTGACAGTAAATATCATACACTAATGATCTAACAGTAAATATTATACACAATGGGAACTGACAGTAAATATCATACACAATGGGAACTGACAGTAAATATCATACACAATGGGAACTAACAGTAAATATCATACACAATGGGAACTAACAGTAAATATTATACACAATGGGAACTAACAGTAAATATTATACACAAATAGGAACTGACAGTAAATATTATACACAAATTGGAACTGACAGTAAATATTATACACAATACACAGTAAATATTATACACAAATTGGAACTGACAGTAAGTATTATACAGAAATTGGAACTGACAGTAAGTATTATACAAAATAGGAACTGACAGTAAATATTATACACAATGGGAACTGACAGTAAATATTATACACAAATAGGAACTGACAGTAAATATTATACACAATGGGAACTGACAGTAAATATTATACACAAATTGGAACTGACAGTAAGTATTATACACAAATTGGAACTGACAGTAAGTATTATACACAAATGGGAACTGACAGTAAATATTATACACAAATTGGAACTGACAGTAAAATTATACACAATGGGAACTGACAGTAAATATTATACACAAATTGGAACTGACAGTAAAATTATACACAATGGGAACTAACAGTAAATATTTTACACAAATAGGAACTGACAGTAAATATCATACACAATGGGAACTGACAGTAAATATTATACACAAATTGGAACTGACAATAAGTATTATACACAAATGGCAACTGACAGTAAATATTATACACAAATTGGAACTGACAGTAAATATTATACACAATAGGAACTAACAGTAAATATTATACACAAATAGGAACTGACAGTAAATATTATACACAATGGGAACTGACAGTAAATATTATACACAAATTGGAACTGACAGTAAATATTATACACAATGGGAACTAACAATGGGAACTGACAGTAAATATTATACACAAATTGGAACTGACAGTAAATATTATACACAATGGGAACTGACAGTAAATATTAGACAAAAAATAAAATTTATAACTCACAATTTCTAATTTCAGGTAATATACCAAAATCAGAATTAGCAATATTAGTATTATATTTGGAAAAATAAATGTAAAGTAATCATAAAGGTTTTACTCTGAAACAATCGTGTAATGAAATATTCAATGTATGATTCAAGGTTCTGCATACAGCTACATGTATGCAGTTAATTGTGCTACACAGAAATTCACACATACGTACAGTATAGTTAGCTCTATAGCTGTAGTACAAATTGGGTAGGAGGAGACTGGGTATATCGCTAGTACTATTGGCTAGTCTTTAGCAGTAAATCTGCAGGAAAATAAATTGTTACAGGAGCCTGTGTGCTTGCTGGTAATATTGGTCAGCTTGATCATCTGTAATCCCAGTCTGCACTACAACTGTTCTCAGCCCAAAACAATCAGAGATATTATAGTAATGTAAATGCATATTGTGTTATTTTCATATAACAATTTATTCTAAATGCTGCACACATCCGGGCCGCATTTATTTATTGTTTTTAATGTTATACAAAAACGGCCCCGCCCCCTTATCGATAAATCCCGGCCGACATAATGGAATAGCCCGGAGACAATATAATGTGTGGATGAATTATATCTAAGCATATCCAAGATATAAATGACAAATACCTACCGGGAGCATAAGGTGACGGAACATTAAATTCCTTCACTTTGCCGTCAAATTCGATCTCGCCTGCAAATTTTTTTGTCACTTGTAAATTAATATCCCTTGCCGCTTCTATAGACGGTGCGTTCGGATACGATCCAAAGCCAGCCTCGGCACGTAGTTTAAAGTAACTCAGTGTCTCCTCGTGGAATTTATACTTCTGTTTCAGTTCATCGAGATCGGCCATGGCTTATATTCGACCTCTAATCCGTTTTGAAACTGGTTAAATCTTTGCACACCGCATCTGATCTTCACAGCATAACGACTCTCTCGGCAGCCATGCAGACCTACTTCCGTTTTGTTTACTAGGCAGCTTATTCCATTTCGCGGTTGTAGGGGTGGGAAAGTGTACGTCAAAATGCGGACTAAAGGGCTGAAGCACAGAGATCTATTAATAGGTAACATTTGTAGGTGGAACCTTGTAGTACGTGTAGTAAGGAATTCAATATTAGCTGCAGAGTTCCGGAGGTATGAGTATAGAACTAAGTCGGGCTATATTTAGGAGATAACCTGTCAAACTATCTACAATACATGGATACTATGGTAGTTTACACATTATAATTGTGTACTTGTCACAGTTTCTCTTTCTTATCATAGATAACGGCAGTCAAGCTGAACCAAGATTTATAAGAGCCAATACATTTGCTGCCATCTGTAGTAGTTTATAGAATAATAAGCACAATGAATTGTGATCGAGTCACAAGGGCTAGATCACAGAATAGACTTTACTTGTCTTGACGAGTTACTTACCTAAAAACCAATTAACTATAATTGTATGGTAGTCTCTGTGAACCATCATGGTCCTCGCCTTGTCCTGTATGTAAGTCTCTGTGAACCATCATGGTCCTCGCCTTGTCCTGTATGTAAATCTCTGTGAACCATCATGGTCCTCGCCTTGTCCTGTATGTAAGTCTCTGTGAACCGTCATGGTCCTCGCCTTGTCCTGTATGTAAGTCTCTGTGAACAGTCATGGTCCTCGCCTTGTCCTGTATGTAAGTCTCTGTGAACCATCATGGTCCTCGCCTTGTCCTGTATGTAAATCTCTGTGAACCATCATGGTCCTCGCCTTGTCCTGTATGTAAGTCTCTGTGAACCGTCATGGTCCTCACCTTGTCCTGTATGTAAGTCTCTGTGAACCGTCATGGTCCTCGCCTTGTCCTGTATGTAAGTCTCTGTGAACCGTCATGGTCCTCACCTTGTCCTGTATGTAAGTCTCTGTGAACCGTCATGGTCCTCGCCTTGTCCTGTATGTAAGTCTCTGTGAACCGTCATGGTCCTCGCCTTGTCCTGTATGTAAGTCTCTGTGAACCGTCATGGTCCTCACCTTGTCCTGTATGTAAGTCTCTGTGAACCGTCATGGTCCTCGCCTTGTCCTGTATGTAAGTCTCTGTGAACCGTCATGGTCCTCACCTTGTCCTGTATGTAAGTCTCTGTGAACCGTCATGGTCCTCGCCTTGTCCTGTATGTAAGTCTCTGTGAACCGTCATGGTCCTCGCCTTGTCCTGTATGTGTGTGAACCGTCATGGTCCTCGCCTTGTCCTGTATGTAAGTCTCTGTGAACCGTCATGGTCCTCGCCTTGTCCTGTATGTAAGTCTCTGTGAACAGTCATGGTCCTCGCCTTGTCCTGTATGTAAGTCTCTGTGAACCGTCATGGTCCTCGCCTTGTCCTGTATGTTAGTCTCTGTGAACCATCATGGTCCTCGCCTTGTCCTGTATGTAAGTCTCTGTGAACCGTCATGGTCCTCGCCTTGTCCTGTATGTAAGTCTCTGTGAACCGTCATGGTCCTCTCCTTGTCCTGTATGTAAGTCTCTGTGAACCATCATGGTCCTCGCCTTGTCCTGTATGTAAGTCTCTGTGAACCGTCATGGTCCTCACCTTGTCCTGTATGTAAGTCTCTGTGAACCGTCATGGTCCTCGCCTTGTCCTGTATGTGTAAGTCTCTTGTGAACCGTCATGGTCCTCGCCTTGTCCTGTATGTAAGTCCTGTGAACCGTCATGGTCCTGCCTTGTCCTGTATGTAAGTCTCTGTGAACCGTCATGGTCCTCACCTTGTCCTGTATGTAAGTCTCTGTGAACCGTCATGGTCCTCGCCTTGTCCTGTATGTAAGTCTCTGTGAACCGTCATGGTCCTCGCCTTGTCCTGTATGTAAGTCTCTGTGAACCGTCATGGTCCTCGCCTTGTCCTGTATGTAAGTCTCTGTGAACCGTCATGGTCCTCGCCTTGTCATGGTCCTCGCCTTGTCCTGTATGTAAGTCTCTGTGAACCATCATGGTCCTCGCCTTGTCCTGTATGTAAGTCTCTGTGAACAGTCATGGTCCTCGCCTTGTCCTGTATGTAAGTCTCTGTGAACCGTCATGGTCCTCGCCTTGTCCTGTATGTAAGTCTCTGTGAACCATCATGGTCCTCGCCTTGTCCTGTATGTAAGTCTCTGTGAACAGTCATGGTCCTCGCCTTGTCCTGTATGTAAGTCTCTGTGAACCGTCATGGTCCTCGCCTTGTCCTGTATGTAAGTCTCTGTGAACCATCATGGTCCTCGCCTTGTCCTGTATGTAAGTCTCTGTGAACCGTCATGGTCCTCGCCTTGTCCTGTATGTAAGTCTCTGTGAACCATGATGGTCCTCACCTTGTCCTGTATGTAAGTCTCTGTGAACCGTCATGGTCCTCGCCTTGTCCTGTATGTAAGTCTCTGTGAACCGTCATGGTCCTCGTCTTGTCCTGTATGGTAGTCTCTGTGAACCATCATAATCCTCGCCTTGTCCTGTATGTAAGTCTCTGTGAACCATGATGGTCCTCACCTTGTCCTGTATGTAAGTCTCTGTGAACCGTCATGGTCCTCGCCTTGTCCTGTATGTAAGTCTCTGTGAACCGTCATGGTCCTCGCCTTGTCCTGTATGTAAGTCTCTGTGAACCATCATGGTCCCCGCCTTGTCCTGTATGTGTGTCTATTAACTGTCATGGTCCTCCCCTGGTCCTGTATGTAAGTCAGTGAACCGTCATAGTCCTCGCCTTGTCCTGTATGTAAGTCAGTGAACCGTCATAGTCCTCGCCTTGTCCTGTATGTAAGTCTCTGTGAACCGTCATGGTCCTCACCTTGTCCTGTATGTAAGTCTCTGTGAACTGTCATGGTCCTCACCTTGTCCTGTATGTAAGTCTCTGTGAACCGTCATGGTCCTCGCCTTGTCCTGTATGTAAGTCTCTGTGAACCATCATGGTCCTCGCCTTGTCCTGTATGTAAGTCTCTGTGAACCGTCATGGTCCTCGTCTTGTCCTGTATGGTAGTCTCTGTGAACTATCATAGTCCTCGCCTTGTCCTGTATGTAAGTCTCTGTGAACCGTCATGGTCCTCGCCTTGTCCTGTATGTAAGTCTCTGTGAACAGTCATGGTCCTCACCTTGTCCTGTATGTAAGTCTCTGTGAACCATCATAGTCCTCGCCTTGTCCTATATGTAAGTCTCTGTGAACAGTCATGGTCCTCGCCTTGTCCTGTATGTGTGTCTATTAACCGTCATGGTCCTCACCTTGTCCTGTATGTGTGTCTATTAACCGTCATGGTCCTCGCCTTGTCCTGTATGTGTGTCTATTAACCGTCATGGTCCTCACCTTGTCCTGTATGTGTGTCTATTAACCGTCATGGTCCTCGTCTTGTCCTGTATGTGTGTCTATTAACCGTCATGGTCCTCACCTTGTCCTGTATGTGTGTCTATTAACCGTCATGGTCCTCGCCTTGTCCTGTATGTGTGTCTATTAACCGTCATGGTCCTCACCTTGTCCTGTATGTGTGTCTATTAACCGTCATGGTCCTCGTCTTGTCCTGTATTTAAGTCTCTGTAAACCATCATGGTCCTCACCTTGTCCTGTATGTAAGTCTCTGTGAACCGTCATGGTCCTCGCCTTGTCCTGTATGGTAGTCTCTGTGAACCATCATGGTCCTCGCCTTGTCCTGTATGTAAGTCTCTGTGAACCGTCATGGTCCTCGCCTTGTCCTGTATGTGTGTCTATTAACTGTCATGGTCCTCGCCTTGTCCTGTATGTAAGTCTCTGTGAACAGTCCTGGTCCTCACCTTGTCCTGTATGTAAGTCTCTGTGAACCATGATGGTCCTCACCTTGTCCTGTATGTGTGTCTATTAACCGTCATTGTCCTCGCCTTGTCCTGTATGTAAGTCTCTGTAAACCATCATGGTCCTCGCCTTGTCCTGTATGGTAGTCTCTGTGAACAGTCATGGTCCTCACCTTGTCCTGTATGTAAGTCTCTGTGAACCATGATGGTCCTCACCTTGTCCTGTATGTAAGTCTCTGTGAACCGTCATGGTCCTCGCCTTGTCCTGTATGGTAGTCTCTGTGAACCATCATGGTCCTCGCCTTGTCCTGTATGTAAGTCTCTGTGAACCGTCATGGTCCTCGCCTTGTCCTGTATGTGTGTCTATTAACTGTCATGGTCCTCGCCTTGTCCTGTATGTAAGTCTCTGTGAACAGTCCTGGTCCTCACCTTGTCCTGTATGTAAGTCTCTGTGAACCATGATGGTCCTCACCTTGTCCTGTATGTAAGTCTCTGTGAACCGTCATGGTCCTCGCCTTGTCCTGTATGGTAGTCTCTGTGAACCATCATGGTCCTCGCCTTGTCCTGTATGTAAGTCTCTGTGAACCGTCATGGTCCTCGCCTTGTCCTGTATGTAAGTCTCTGTGAACCATCATAGTCCTCACCTTGTCCTGTATGTAAGTCTCTGTGAACCGTCATGGTCCTCGCTGTTCCATTTCCACCGTCTTTGACCGCCCTTGATCATTAAAAACATTTATTAAAATGCATGTGGTCTGGCTTATTAAAGTGAATCCGGTAAGGAATATTGGTTTGACCCAAACAGCTATGATTGTTCGCCGTGGAAGTTGCTATTTTCATTTTACTTTTCTAATTCCATGGAAATAAATGTATAGTCTTAATTTATTTCGTTAAAAATATATTTCATGTTTATATAGAAACTTTAATACCCTCAAAATTTATCTCGCGCAACACCGGTTTATGTGAACGGGAAACTGTTGCTGAGAGATTCACGGAAATGTCGCTCTCGTGAGGAGATGCACGAGCTATATGTGGACTTAATGACATCAACCGTTGAGGATTTTTATACAGCAATTCGGATTCTAGTTTAATTAAATTTTATGCGAATTCAATATTGGCCTTAGATACG